GCTAATCGGAATCGCGGAGCCGGCAGTTTAAATTCACTTAGCCGATAACGGGGTTAGCGCGTAGGCCTCACGCCCCGTTTCCCATGCACCTCACGTCGGATGCAGAAAATTAGGCCGCATACCTGGCGCGCTTACCCCCCGAGATAAACTCCCGTGTGCCGCCCCTCCCCCCCACCTCCCCNTGCACCGATGGAGGCTCCGATCGGTTTTATCCACCGGAGCTTGGTGAGCCGTGGCTAGGCGACGAGGAGAGCAACTCAACCATGGTGACAAGTTCCCGGAGAGTTAGGTGAAATTCCCAAGTCGGGGAGGTTTTACTCGATCGCGAAAGGCCCAAAGCTCGCGACGCCTCGCCAAGTGCTTTGATGTTGAAAAATTGATCTAATGTACTTAAAAGTAAGTTCGGAATGTAGCCAACGTGCGTTGAAAATCCAGAAAACTGGAAATCTCAATGCAGAGGGAAAAAGATCATTAGGGCACGATGTCCCTCGAAGAGATACGTTGTTTGGTGCAACACGAGTTACGACCTTGCTTAAAAGACCTTGATTTTTTCATCATCTAGTTAGGAGCCGCCCATGAGTAACGGCAGGTACCTAGGAGGGACCGGAAATGGATTACATTTTGCAATAAGGAACCACTATCTCTGACACTTCCATAAAACCGCTTTCCTGCATAGGAAAACAGATGGCATATGTGTTGTTTCTAAAATGAGCTAGAGCTGGCGGTTCCTTATTGCAAAATGTGATCCAAAGCATTGCGAGTTCACGCCTCGCGCCATCGCTCCTTCAATTTTTCAGACGCAACGCGGACATCCATTAAGTACGAATAGTTGTATCTCTGCGCCGTTGTCAACGCGCATCCTTTCTCTTGCTCTATTTCCATATCGCGCTTGATTCCGAAGTCTTTCTTATTGTAGTGGCGCTTCGAGGGCTAAGTGAACAACACAACCGATTGTAATAAGAGACATGTATTGGATCTCTTTTTTATCATTTTTCTCGCAGAACCGAGTGACACCCCATTAATAGCTTTGAGCGGAGCTTTGCGAGTTTACGCCTCGCGCCATCGCTCCTTCAATTTTTCAGACGCAACACGGACATCCATTAAGTACGAATAGTTGTATCACTGCGCCGTTGTCAACGCGCATCCTTTCCCTTGCTCTATTTCCATATTGCGCTTGATTCCGAAGTCTTTCTTATTTGTAATGGCGCTTCAAGGGCTACGTGAGCAACACAACCGATTGTAAAACTCCATTCCAAGATTGCCAAATTGACTCAAACAATTAATTTATTTTATGAAGTTGTATCTGTGCAATTTTTATCAAAACATTTTCTGATTTTTGGCATGAAATCTGAGGGAAAATCAATGAAATCTTCAGTTAGGAATGCCTAAGATTCTCTCAGCTAATATGCAATTTTCGAGGGGAAATTCGGCAACATTGAAATGGAGTCCCGTTCTTTCGTAAGAGAAATGACAAAATGTGCCTGATGATAGAGAAAGGAGAAAGGAATCAAGCCGAGCTCACCTCCTTCTAAGTTCTGAAGATAAATATGTAATAATTTATGTTTTTTTTTCCATTTCTAGGGTAATTTGAACCACGCTATGCAGAAAGGAACCAAGCCACATCAGCTTTTGCCAAATTTAACTGGGGAATCAAATTTTTTACACAAAAACGGTTGTTCGGATTTTTGTGCAAATTTCAGTGAATTTTCTACGAGCAAATTCCTTAAAATCGTCAAAGGAATCCGCCCAAACGCTCCCTCGTAAAGAATAAAACTGCCCGGTTAAATGAGGCAATAGCCCATGTGGTTTGGTTCATTTCTGCCAAACGCGGTCCATTGGCATCTTGGAATTTTTTTGATGATTTGATGACGTAGGTCGGTACAGCGACGTTTATCCTGTCGATTTTCTTGGAAATGGTGTAGTTTAAGGAAAAAAGTTATTCTATAAAAAGTGCTTGAAATTATATAATGAGTTGATTTAAGTAAAAAAATCGGACATTATGGTCCGTTTTTCATATTTCAAATTCCGGATTTCGCTGGTCAGGTTGTGACGACCTACGTCACAGGGTAAACAAACCTCAAGATGCAAACACCTCCTTTTTTTTCTCTATACATTGAATGGCGCGAGGTTGATGAGGCGGTCCACAAAATTGTTACCACGATGGTCTCGGAGCGGGAGTGGAGCAGGAGCACACTCCAAGTTTATACGCTTGCTTCCTTGAAGAATTACCTTCAGAACCCCGAGTTCCCGGGCACGAACTTTTCAGTTTGACAACGACGGCTATAACTCAGCACGGGCCATGGGGCAGTTTGCAAGAGCCGCCGATGATGCTGGAGCCAAGGGCTTAGGGCCGGGGGGATGGGGGGGGGGCAAGGGCCGGGGGCCCTCCCCCCGTTTGACTCGAGTCAATTGCAGCCATTACCCCGCCTCGCCAAGGTAAACCTCGTCCTCTCTGATGCCGGCCCGTACTTTTGCCCAAGGTTTCGCATTTTTTGCATACGATCCTCGACACAGATACTCCTCTCCATTAATATTCAGAGCTGCCGGCTCATTATGTGCCCGCGCTGCACGGTGCAGTCGCGATAGATGAATGCAGTTTCTAGCCACTCGCATCTTCCGGCGGGAGATGAGAATGCCGCATGCCGGGCAGCCTTTCCGCAAGAAAAATGTGCTGCCTGGTGAATTGAAAACCACACTAGGAAAAATCTACTGATAGGTTCAGTAGGCGTTTTCCGGTTCAGAGGCATGCATTCTCCGTCGCGCAAACCAACCTCTTCGATACACCACTAGACGAAGCACAACTTTAAGCACTCTGTGATAGATCGACGGTGTAAGTCGGCAATCACATAACTCGGTTTGCGACGTCGCAGACTTCCTGCCATATTTTATTTTTTAAATGGAAAACTACTCAACGGCAATTCTTGAAAACTGTCATGATTTTTCTTCTCTATGCAAAGCAAATTCTGCAAAAATTTCGAGAAGTAATGTCAATTTGTTCTCCTTTAAAAAAATGACATAGAGGCGGAGATTTTCAGACACCGCAAACGAGTTATGTGATTGCCGACTTACACCGTCGATATGCTTCTTAACCAGAATGTCACGTTGAACACAGTTCTCGAATCGAAACACCGGACCCCTTCTCCACTCCTTCTTATAAATTGAAGGCAAAATGGACGTATTTCTGTCAAACGGAACTATGTGCATTATGACGTGAGCCCTGTTAAGCATATATCCTTATGGGTCTCAGGGCTCATGTCTTAATGCACACACTTCCGTTTGACAGAAATACGTCCAAATGCCGTCCTCTCCTTCACTTAAAATGATGATACAACTGGACTGCATTTTGCAATTTGGAGCTATAAATTCTAGCCCGGTTTAAAAACAACGTATGTGCCATTAGCTTCCCTATGCACATAAGTGTTTTTTCAGGTGAGCCAGAATTTATAGTTCCAAATTGCAAAATGCAGTCCAACTATTGCTGCTCGTATGAGCCCAATTTTGCCTGTCTCAGGAAGCGTCTCGCTAATTATTTGTGCAGCTATGAATGTTGTGCGTCACGTGGGCCCAACTTGCATCTAGCAGATTTATTGTATTGTTTTTTTTGTTCTACTTTCCGATTTTTAAAATGCATCGGTTGGAAACGGTTCGGTATACTTCAATTATGAGAATAGGCGAATACGTCATCTTCCTAGACACTGCCTTTGAAAAAAGAAGCAAGGTGACGAAATAAGAGGAAGAATGTGCTGACATCGGACCACATGATCGCAACGTTTATCTCCCTCTTCCATTCATTATTTCAATTCATTCAGCAGTGGTGGAGCCGGATTAAAAATAATCAACAGTCAACTGCAATCGACTGCAACGTGTTTGCGCTTCAAGTTCAGATCAAACAACAGCGCCAATTAACTTCTGTACCCGCTGATAAAGAGCCCCGGGTCAGAGACTAAAGTTGATCCGCGAGGAATTCCTCGCTATGGACGTATTTCTGCCGAACGGAACTATGTGCATTATGACATGAGCCCTGTTACACATATATTCTTATGGGTCTCAGGGCCCATGTCTGAATGCACATAGTTCCGTTTGGCAGAAATACGTCCATTTTTAAAACACCTCCACACTCGATTGAGCTTTCAGCGGACAAGAGCTTCACCTCCGAACTCCGAGCGATAACGCAGCTGAAATAAACGGGCGATTTTATGAATATTCTTCTGACCAGAGGAGACGGGGGGCAAAAATTAAAGGCGGAATAGAATATTTTTTTCGGTATGGGTTTGAGTTACGAGCGTGAAACGGAGGATAAGAATACATACGTTTGATAAGAGAGGCGCCTGCCTCGGGGAGAAGCGACAAATAAGGAAGCGCAGACAGCACACACCGGACTATCTCTCGTTGTCGCGCCGTGAGTTTAATTAAGCACCTGATAAGGTGAAGATAACACCGCGCTGTTGTCAGACTGACGAACTTTTGATTACTAATAACTCTTTAAGGAGACTTGTGTGGGCTCCGCTTGTGGGAGAGATGATGAAAGTTCCTGGCCTTTCCATTTTTCTAATTAGCCTTCTCTGAGGGTTGCAAAAAATTCCACCACACGGACTATTCCTCGTGATCCGGCATTTTTGCCTAATGACCAAATTTTCGCCACGCCTTACAGAAAAATAGCATTAAAATGACATTTTCCACCTTAACCCTGATGATTGTAGGGTTGGTTTTCCTTTACTTTTCTTCACTCTGCAATTATCAGGGCAAAGATAGAAAAAATGTTCTTCAATGCTATTACATATACTGATCAAGGATGATATCACCTTTAATCAGAGACAAATGTCCGCTTTTATGACAACACGCCAGAGTTTCTCCGAGTTCATGCCGGGGAAAGATGGGGGGAAAAAATGGGTGACGTAATTTATGGACGGCCCCTTTGACTGATGGGAATTCTGTTGTAGTGCGAAGAAAAAAAGCTTGACTAGAAGAAAAGATTAGTCACGATCTTGTGGGCTACTTACTTTGAATGGCGCTTGTTCCCTCATGGACTGCTTTTAATCCTGGCTGACACTTTAATCCGATTCTGAAACATAAAACGAAATCAGCATTTAGATGTAAGTTCAAATTATTACGAAAATATATCGGGAAACAAACAATTTATGTGACATTTTGATGAAAGCTACAATCCTTTTTCAAAAATAGTGAATTTCGAGGGGAGTGAGACTGTCCGACATTTTGCCTAGACGTTTGAAAAAATGCCTGATTTAATTATTTGCCTGCGACACGCAATTTCTTTTTAGAAAACACACAAAAGTTCAACAAAGGTACAAAATTTCGACTTTAAGCTTAAATTTTTTTTTGGAGAATTGTGAATAAGAAACAGCTTTTTCGGCCGAAATTAAACTACCTAAATTGTACGGCGACGCGTGTGGCAAAGGTGAAAAATAAAGATATTGCGTGTGGTCCGCGGTCCCTTGCTGAAAGTGGTTCGGCTGTCGAATAACCGAGAGTTATCGGGGTTGGGTGTGTTGAGATTTCAGTTCGAGGTCAGATGTAAATTACACCTTGCGAGTTTCCTGCATCGAGTAAATGGGTTCTAACCCAGAATCCCCTCGTTTAATCGTTTAAGATCATGATCAGCACGAATTACCCGCCATTACTTCCCACGAATTATTATTCGCCTCTGATGATCTCGGGCAAAATCTTACAGGGTGAGGTTGAAGTATCGTGAGTGTACTGTGCATATTCTCTGTAGAGAATGTGCGAAATGTAATGAAGAACAATAGAGGGGCTTGGAGGACGAGGCGCGTGAGTGCAGTTTTTACTATTTCGAGACATACGT